TACTGCACACAGTTCGGTCGCCTTTCTTGGGAAATGGCAGTAGTACTGGAGTACCCCAAGAGGAAGGACAGGTTTCGGTCTCCCATTTCGAGCAGAAGAGCTCATGCAAATGGTCAAGGAGAGCTGGTAGACAAGATTTGTAGATTTCCGCTGGAATCGCGTCCGCTCCAGGAGCATTTTTCAGCTTCAGGCGAAGAGTGATGTCTGCAATCTCTGTGGGAGATGACGGTGAGAAATCCGCGTCATATCCTAACTGGGTATATGCTGAAGTGCGCGCAGTGGTGTGTAGTGGGCTCTTTAGAATGTTGCTAATACACTCTACCCAACTGGGAAGATTTCCTCTTGCATCGGGGATGATTCATCCTTCCGAATTGCGCAATATCGGCTGGGGTGAGTAGCGCCTACCGGAAGCTAAACGGACGGAACGAACGAGAGGACCCAAATTGCCAGAATTTGCTACAGCTTACATGTTGCTTGGGATAATAGACCAGTAGCCGTTGCAATCATGCCATGCTGAGCGGAATGCGTCACGCCTCAAGCGACAGTAGTCTGCGGAATTCGTGAGACGTGCTTCTCTCGGGTTAGCGGACAAGCGAATAGTATCTTCAGGGATCTAGTACTTCACAGGCTTAGAGCTGAAGCCCAAAGTAGAAAGCGTGGCGCGTTGAACCGACGATCTTATTCCAGACCAAAGAGCATCGACAGATTCATCTTCTGAAGGTACGACACGTGGCGCACTGGCAGGAAGTCATGCTTCTACTGCTGCCTCGAGGAATCGGCAGCAGTCAGTAGTTTCCAGTGGGGCAGTGTTGTTACGTTGTGGTGGAAGGGTCTTTCGGCGCGTTGTCAGGCGGAGTCTAAACGTGGCGCACAGGAGTAGGTGGTCCGAACCACCTTTATTACCCCTTTCAGCCTCTCTGTATGCTCGACGGGCATCGACGGAGATCATGCACCGGGATCGAACTGAGGTGTAATCTACCTGCCTTGCTGTAGGACCATCGTGGAAGTACCATGTCAACAGAGGCTTCTTGGGATGCTGAAAGCGAATATTGGTTACGCATAGCCGGTTAAGTTCAGCGAAGCTGAGCAAGCGGCCTCCATTATTACAGCTCTCTCCAAGGGCATATCTCCCGAGTATGTGACGAGTCTGCAAGTTCCTCGACCCGGTCCGTGCATGTTGGTGGCCAGCAATAATAAGGATGTCGCGTTTTGGAACATGGTTCACCGCTGTATGTAGTGTATCGTATAATTCGTTTTTGTTCCTTTCCGCTGAGAGTAAGGTTGGTGTGTAGACAGAGATTATGGTCAGATTCATCGGGCAATCTTTGTAGCGTGCAATCTTTGTAGCGTGCAAGGGCTGTTCTAGCTGATACTGGCTTCCATGAAAGGACAGCGTAGTGGGCCTGGCAACTGAGGGCCATTGCGGCGCCATACTTGCCAGAATTATCTTCCTGCCCATTGTGGAAAAGCCAATATAAGGTGTCTACACCAGGGATTTTGATTTGTCGAGAGCCAAAGATAAGTATTCGAGATTCTGACAGACATGCTATGTCAATCTGGTAGTCATGTAGTGTGTGCATGGTCAACGTTTGGCTGCCGCCATGCAACAGGGTTCCGACATTTCAGCGTTCAATGAATAGTGGCTTCCGGGGATTGAGGGACCCAGTTAGCTTACTTGTCACTCTGGCCACTAGATTAGTGCCGAGTGCGTCGCCTACCGGGAAAGCCGTAGCATGAGAAGAATCGCGGGTAATGGACATGTCATGAAGTTTCGTGGGGATTATAGGCATATATGAGGACCCCAACCTCATCCGGCTTTTGTTCGAGGGTTAACCTCTAGATTCCGCACAGCCAAATGCTACATGCAAAGCAGTAGGGATCTGGGAAATTGTCTTGCCTTCTGGCCGTTTGATCACGGGTCGATCTCTTCCACTCAGTTGTCAGGACTGAGGTTGCACGCTGCCTCGAACTCACCGTGAATAGTGTTCCTGGCTACCCTCACCTGGTTTAGCCCGTCTGCCAGACGGTTGACCGGGGTGTAGTCGCTGACGCGTGTAAGCAACTTCTTGAAGACACAGGCATGGTTAGTGTCGGTCTGCCGTAAGCGTGGCGCTGATCTAGCACTTGCAGTAAAGTGAATTTTTGATCTATACAACCCTGTTCTGGGCGCTAACGCGCTTGCTGTTCCCTGATCCGGGATCTCCGTTCCGCAGTGAAGTGACGAACGAAGCCAGTTAATTTGTTTTTACAACTGGCGTTAGGTTAATACCTCTGTGGTTAGGACAGGACTGTCCTTCTTGTATTTTGCCACTATGATCGATTTATTTCAAATAGCTTTGTGGGTCTATTCCTTCAAGAACCATTCGAACATGGAAGTCAGTGCTTTGCCGAGGACCTCACCGCCATCCACATATATTGCGGGTTTAAGGGAATCAGGACCAGCAACACGAGAAGCGTTTGGAAGCTGTGATCGAGTTTGGAATCTCAGCTTCCGCTGGAACCTCTGAACTAACCGGCTATAGCACAGCCTGCACCAAATGAGTAGAAAAAGTTCTGGAAGCAGGAAGAGGACTGAAAGGTTCTCGAAAATGCTCCATACGGTGATCGTTATTTTGAAATAAGGCGCAGATGGTGTCACTGATTGGCTCACTGACGTCTAGTTTCCTGGGAACAGTGGTGGCGATCAGCTGGAAGAGATTGCGATACTTGCCTATTGGTCCTGCCTCCTCTATTTCTTGAGCCCTACCGGTCTAGCAGGCTTCTTTTTCAGCATGTAAGCTTCACTTTAGTTCCCGCCTACTACGCAGTCTGTTTGCACTGTACCCAGAGCCAGCAGGACTTTTGCATCTGGATTCCAACAAGTTCACCGACTTGTTTGATATCGAATGACTGGTGTAGTGAGGACTAATAGTGCCGCAAGCAGAGTCTCCCGCGTCGTGCATAGCGACCGGGATACCATTCTACTGAAGTTCAGTGTCATTAGGACAAGAGAACGAAAGTTCGGTACGCGGGGCATCCAGTTAGGCTTGTCTGACCCAGTGCCGAGATAATGACTCAGTTACCATTCACGGGAGCGTTTGGTGCGCCTTCTGATAAAGTTCATGAAAAAACGACAGCTTACCAAGGCATGATCAGAATAGACGCAAGTATTCCAGAACGAGTGATAATCCAAGATGGAACCAAGCCAACTCTGACTTATAGCACCGTAAGCTCTATGGGCCCATCGCTGACCAGATATATAGGGGGACTATGAATGTCCCTTCGACACCGACTGTGTCTAAAAGCGATGCTACTGATAAACAGCTGGTGCTCCGCGTACAGTTACAATAGACCTTCGCCATTGTACGTTCGGTAGGAGTCAGATATCTAATTCGCACTTAGTTGCCATTCCGCTAAGTTCAGACGACCAACTTGCGCACTCATGTCCCCTGCAACAAAAACAATATATGAACTAGTAACATTGTGTAACAGCGTGTCTATTTCTTGGTAGGAGATGTCTTTGGCAGCCTCAGAACTACGGTTGGCGTGGGCATAAACAGAAACCACGAACAAACAGCTTTTACTGCTAGTTGGTGAATCATCCTTAATTGATGTCGTCAAACGGGCTGCACATAAACGGCTGCGCACGGGAATCCAATCGACCAACGATGACTCAGTCTCGGAGTTGTGAACGATGCTCACACCAGCCTGACCAGGGATTCCCGCACCAGCGTCTCCAGATGCGTGCGACCAATAGCGAGAGAAAAAGCCGGGTGCAATAAATTAGACAATCCCGTGTGGTTCATTGGTTCTAGTTTCGGACACCCATCACAAGTCAATGCCTAGGATGTCCAACGTGAGTGTGAGTGCAGCCTGTTGACCTATTTTTCTTGGAGGGCGAATGTTGAACGCCGCCAGGGGAACGGGACAGCGTGGCCTTATAAGGGGCCGTTACCGGAGGGCTTCCAGTGAGTGGTGGGGGAAGGTAGCTGCAGTTGGTTCAACCCCAGTGGCATTATGACTGCTGTCAATTAATGTGGGGACTATAGGAGAAAGGCTCATGATGGGAACTGGGAGAGGAGGAAGAGAAACGGTTGGCAAGGAAAGAAGCGAGGCGCCAGTAGTAGCATGTTTTCGCTTATCCCTCCTGCTGTATGCAGCAGATAAGGCCATCCTTGATGAGCCTCGCCGCGGCCGATGTAGGATAGGATTGAACTTTGAAGAAAAAATCATGGTTGTACGTAGACTGAGACATTGCCAAGACCTAGACGCGATGATGATTAGGGACTACAGCCGAAGCGCTCGGCGCAAAAGCCTGTCTGCTAGGCAGTGGATACGCCTACAATTCGGTTTTACAAAAATGGACGCCATCCCAATTCGACCCCCAACCTGCAAGACCAGTAGACTGAGTTTGTCTCACTCCTTAACTGTTGACCAACCTGGAAGAAGTAGCTCTTAACTGGCCCCAGGATCCACTCAGTATGGCTCACTGGGTCGAGGAGGTACGCAAGCCGCCCCAGGATGTTATGGTTCAGTGTTGTCAGGATGGTGGAAATCACGAACCGAACTCTAGCTTAGCATGACAGTCTGCTGAGCATGAGATGACTGATCGTGTGCGTCGTGACAATGCACTGATGACAACTTGCTTGCCAATCAAAGTATACTTATAACGGTTGGCAATGAAGGATGAGCATGAACAGACGTGCTGGCGATTAATGGCTGGAAACTTCACTTTCAAAAAAGGGTCAACGAATCAATTACCACTTGTGTAGTGGTTGTTTGCTTCAGCAGCTATGCAGGAAGCAGAAGCCTCTGCTTGCGGTATTATTAATCATCACTACTCCAGTCAATGGGTACCAAAGAGGTCACTGAACCGCAAGTTATAACATCCTATCTTTGATACAAATAAGAGTAACCCATCGACATGGAATCTTTTATACCTAGTCACTTCGAGGGAGGGTGCACGTCAGACAGCAATATTATAAACCAACGTCTACTTAAATAACAGCAGTAGTTAAAAATTAAGTCTCAATGTACTCACCTGTAAGATAACCGGAGAAATGACGCAGCAGGCGGGAAATCTTAGTTTGTGCGTTGAGGGATGACGCAGAGTCAGACGACCCCAAGAGCTGTGATTGCTCTTCAAATGGTTTCTTCACGTCAAGTTGAGAACCCGAATTCTGAGGGGGGAAAGCTTCTGGAAGAATCAGAACTGCAATCGATGGCAATCCAGCTGCCTCCAATCGTCGCAGAGCTGGTCCTCCTACATCCAGTAGACAGTGCAGACCTAGTTCGGCCACTTCGAAGACGGACTCTAGGTGGGTGCCGTATAAATTCCCTTTGTACTCACCGGCCTCCAAGTACCGTTGTGCAGCAATGTCGGCCACCATTATCTCTCGGCTGAGCACAAAGTGGTAATCCCGACCCTCGACTTCATTCGGACGGCTGCTGCGAGTCGTGTCTAAACGGTGGAGATAGAAAGTAAGTGAACAGCATCAACGCATCGGCTTCATACAATAAGGCGGCCAAAATACTGAGTGAGGCTATGATTGTTGTGTTGTTCTTTTTCATTTTAACTAGCGTGGGACCTGACAATAAAGAGGTAAACTGAGTGACCGATTAGGTTGCTAAATCCATGCTGCCTAACTGCTTATCGATTTGTACTGAGCCTGAGAAATGCGTAGAAACCAGGTGGAAACAGGAGCACATCGCTCGTACGCTGAGTCTTTTGACTTCTCGCCTCGTTATTAACATGGCTGTAAGTTTGTCTCCGGATTATAGAATCATCGGGTCACCGCTAACTGCTAACCGCGTCACCCGTCATCCTGCTATCACCAGATCATTGAAAAAGCTTGACTAGTTAACAATATTCGCAATGCATCATGGCTCCTCGCTGACCCTGATGGATTTGTTCATTTTAACATGCATCAAGATCAGAAATCTGTTCAGCGTAAAGAATTTTTTCGGCAAATTATCTTCAGATCCAAACGTTTACATGTGTGCAAAGCGTCAAATCGGGCTGGGATTGACTTCTCGGCTACTTGAACAATCGAAATCGATAACAGGTGACAGGGCCATAAACGGCATGCCAAGTAAATTAAAGGAACATGTATACCCAATCTTTAGTTTCCGAAGTAGATAGATAAGGTAAGAATCAATGACCGTTGGCTACGGTAGTAGTATCGTTTTACTCATAGAATTCCGGTTTCAGACAGTGGAGGTAGATAGCTTCAGCAATGAATAAGAGTAGCTTTGGAATCCTTGCGAGAAGCGTTCAAACCGTGAGTAGATAACTGAGATCATACTCAGATGCAGTATGGCAACAGTCAAGGTGGTGCAACGCACCTTGGCGGAATCAAGTTTCAGATTAGGTATTATTATCCCATCAAAAAGACGAATAACTACCCACCTCCCATCGGCCGTCATTCTCCCACACTTGACCCCTTAACCCCTATGTGGACTCCTAGAGGCCGAGAAATTGGTCTGATTGTCTACAAATGCTCACGGTCTACTTACTAAGCTAGCCGAACTGAAACCTTGCCAATCTTTCGGGTCATATGATTTCTTTGGTCTCATCGAGACGTGGTATCACACGGAAATGACGGACGCACGTCGCCGAACCAGAACGATGGCCACACAAAAGGGAGGGTGATAATTCTTTATTACCGAAGGGACTCACAGTGCGTAGTCGTGGAAGATTCAGACTCGCAGTTCCCTCACTATCTTTGATGCCGCTTGCAGTTCAAAGAAAGGGACGCTTGCCTTATTGTCTTGGTGCACCGCCCCCTATACTCCCGAAACCGACAGCTACCTTACGGCTGCTTTAAGATGCAGTTTGCAGCGAAAGTACACACATACTTATCATGGGTGGTTTTGATGTACATTGTTTGGAGACTCCTGCCACGATCGGAGAACAATCCAAAGCCGAGCTACAAGGTGTCGTAATTATTGTTTCTCTTTACAATCACATCAGTTTGCCCACTCGGTTCAGAACTGGTAACAGGCCAGCGGTGCTAAATCTTGTGCTTACTAGCGACTGATTGATGTGTTAGCTGTAAACTGCCGGCCGGGTCACAGTGATCATGCAGTCATCAGTTTCAAATCCGTTTGCTACGCGGAATATCGGAATGAGAACGATGAGACTGTGCGAACCATCACATGCAAAGATCGATTAGCCCAGCTCGTCAGCGTTATAACTTGGTCGTTCCTTACCGATGAAGTCACCTCGCTCGAATTCGCCAACAAATTCAGTCAGTTGATTGCAGAAGCTTCAGAGAAAAGAGTTTGTAATAAGTGTAGATCAGCTTTTTTCGCTAGGAGCAGAACTCGAAAATGGATGACAGCACGCAACGCAACATGGCGATTGTACGGAGATCCTCCAGCACCAGAAAATTAGGACAACTATGTAGTCCAAAGTAAGCACTACACTTAACTACTAAGAAAAGACAAAGTCGCATAACGGCAGAACAACGCAAAACCTTCAGTGCTGACCACAAACTGCTGTGCAAGCACGTCAATAGCCTACGAAAGTTGAGGCAAGGATTTCCTCCACTCAGGACGGCCGATAGCCAAACAAGAACGGTTGTGGAAGCAGCAAACGCGCTGGGGATGCAGTATGCCCCAAGGTTTCTGAGGGTCATGTCATCAAGCAATCTTCCATCCTTTGTCCGCTCTCTGCCAGGACTAACCCCCAGCCTTTTTACGGCAGAGGCTCTATTGCTAAACCTGACGTCTGTACGCAAACAGAGCACCCCCAGTGTCGATATCATTTATCCAGAGGCACTGGAAGCAGCAGCAAGCCTACTGGCAGGACCTTTAGCTCAGTTTTTCCAGCGCTGCTTAGTCCAGAATCAAGTTCCCCCTATGTCGAAGCTTGAAATAATAACCATGATTCACAAAGGTGGAAGCGGAACTGAGCCCTCCAGCTATCGCCTAGTATCCCTTCTTCCTATACTCTCCAAGGGCATGGAATCCATTATTGCCGATGCATTGGTGTGTTAGCTGGAAAGCTGTAACATCATCACTCCTGAGCAGCACGGTATCCGTCGACAGCGGTCATGCGCGTCGGATGTACTAGTCGTATGCAGTAGTTGGATCGAGGCAGCTGACGATGGAGAAGGCGTTGATTTGAACTACCTGGATTTTTCTAAAGCTCTCGATCGTCTAGACCATCGGATAGTACTTTCCAAGCTCTAGCATTACAGGATCGTCGACGCACATTTAAGCTGGATTGTCAACTTTCTACTTTGACGGCAATTAGTGGTCAGAGTCCGGAGCTGTTTATTGGATCCCATACAAGTCGAGTGGGTTGTGTCGCAAGGCTCAGTACTAGGTGCATGTATGTTTTTGGCGTTTATTAATGACCTTGCACAGGGAATCGATTCAAAGTTCCTAATTTTTGATGACGACTTCCAGATTTGGCGCATGATCCAGGCGAACGCCGACCAGCATCTAATTCAGAGTGACCTAGGTACGGTTTATCAATGGTCAACCCTAAACGTACTGCATCTCAACGTGCGTAAATGAAAGGTATTTCCATCCGACATCAGAGAAGCTACTCATTTCGGCTCGGAACGAAGGTACTGCAACAATCAACTCTCGAACGTGACTTGTGTGTCCTGGTTCAAGATGACTTAGGTTGCTCCAGGCAATCCGAAAACGCCTCAAAAACTGAAATCCAACGCGTCGGACTGTTACGACGGCCATTTGGACAAATAAACAGCTCCATATTTCGACAAATGCTCAGTGCGTGGGTTCGCCCCATGCCGAATACGCAATTCAAGCCTGGCATCCATGGCTGAAACACGACCTTAATGCACTGGAGCAGCCACAACGGACATCTAAGAATGTAATTGGAATGCGTAATCTTTCGTACCAGGAGAGGCTACGACGATTGGGGGTATACAGTGGAGGCTATTGCAGACTACGAGGTGACCTGATTATAGCATACTTGATTCCGCGAGACCCACATCATGTGTACCGCCCTTTACTGCAACTCAGCACCAAGGTAACCCCGAAGGGCCACTCATTGAAACTCACTGTACAGTATAGCTGCCTCCAGTGCAGCAGAAATTTCTTTTTCATTCTTGTCTGTCACCTGTGGAATGCTCTCCCAGAATCAGTCGTCTCTGCACCGACACTAACACTATGTAGAAGATGGGTGGATGATGTACGCATCCACTTACACTTTGTCATTTAGCGCTAGGTCTCCATCCTTCATCTAGAGTTTACCATGAATTTATTTGATGTTATATGTGGGTGCTATGAATCTAAGCGGATTGCAGGACTAGCGCAATGCAAACAATAAGCCTTTATTTCATTGGTAAAGTAGTAACTGTTTTATTAGTATTGTTATTATTATTATTATTTCGATACCCCCACCAACTATCCAACGGGACTTGTAAAGCAACGCTTCTTAACCAGTATAAATGCATGTTCATTGATTGAGTTATTTGAGGACCACATTTCGCTTTTGTAAAATCATAGCGGGGTGTGCTCGTGAACCCACTGAGATAGGCGTCTGGTAGTGTGACCCACGTATCCTGCATCAAAGAAGCATAAGTATTGACAAACGACCATTGAACGGTTCAAAAAGGGTAGGCCATCTTTCAAGGGTTTTGCAAGCAAGGGCCTGTTTTTTGAACAAGCTCAAGTGTGCCGCGAAATAAGTTTACTCAGCAGTTTCTTTCAGGCGTCAGGATAAGACATCAGTCGCTGAATCGCCCTTAAATGGCAAATGTATGATAAGCTGTTTCTTAGCAACAACACTCCTAGGTGACTTTCGATAGCGTTCGTTCAAATGCTTTATGAGAAATTTGTGAGGGTAACAATTATCCCTAAGGGCATCGCTGATTCTCCCTAATACTTCCTTGACGGCAGCCGGTGTGCAACTACTGAACGTCCTGAACACCAAAGATCTGATGAAACTCCTCTTATACTGTGGAGGTATTGCGCTGCGGAAGTTAATGTGCTACCCAGTCCATGCACGCGTTCTTTTAACATTTTTTGCTACGAGCTCCGCCTTAGTTACTGCTGGCTTCTACATCCAGGTTTCCGAATTTGTGTTCACTGGTGAAACGGAGATTCCCATGTGCGTCCTTAAATGTTTTCAGCAGCTGTTCCGCATGCTTTTCGGATTTGCAAAGTACGAAGGTGGAGTCGATATACGGTACGTATATTTCAATACTACCGATGTGCTTTCTAAAGGGGCCATGTTCTAATTTCGTCATGAAAGTATCAGAGAGCAGCGGCCCCAAAAAAGATCCCGTGGCCACATCGTCAATCTGACGGTACATTTGAGCATTTAAGGTGAACTGAAAATTTAACTTGCAGCGAAGTAATACATCGCTTAGCAAATTCTCCTGGAAAAGTTGAGTATTTAGGCAGCTGCCGAGCTAGCTAACATATGTAATTAACCTTTCCGAGCAATGGAATATTTGTAAACAACGATAGTGTGTCAAATGATACCACAATTTTGTTGGCAAGGTTGACTTCAGATATCCTCACAGTGAATTAGAAGGTGTCTCTCATGCAGTAAGTGCAAACCATATTCCGTAACTGCTACAGCTTCACAAATATCCATTGGGCCAACGGATACTGGGGAGAGCCCACCATATTCGAAATTAGGTGCCCTGAGGCGCGTTCCTTGTGAACTGTAGTTGGGCCATATTATCTCGGTAGGTGTGCACCGTAAGAATTCAGCCTTTCGAATTCGTTCTTGATAAGTTTGGCTTGCATCATTCGCCTAAGACAACCGGTCAGTTGATTCTCTAGCCTCCCTGTGTTGTTCTTTCCTGGTATACGCCCTGACACTTACATTCATCACTGAGGTATTACGTTTTACAGTTACAATCCACCTAACCATTAGCACTATGCCTTGTCTGGCAAGATTGCACTCTGCATATCAGCGCACTGAGGATGACACCTCGCATGGCGGTGAAACGTTAGTAAACCAATTTAACATCTCGGCGAACAAATAAGCAACTAAATTGTCAACCCGAGCTACCAGTATTCATAACCAGTGTATAGAACTGATATCTTTATATTAAACAAAGAGGATGTACTGTGCTGGTATCGGACCGGGATCCGGTTTAGTGGACCACTGGGTAAGATGCAGGCCTCATTCACATTTCCATTGTGAACTTTCCATCACTAAGTTTATTTGGATTTACGCTTAGCGGACCGTTGGTTGAAAATCTTCTTTCACATAAGCCTGTTGTGAGTGTGGTGAGCAGATTTACATCACAGTCAATAACCAACCATGCGAGTCCGCCAACGCCACCCAGTGACTTAGGCATCGACTCGTACGAAAAGAGTCATTGGTTCAACTCCCGTGGGACTTGTGATAGCTAACTGATGTCGGTGTGTCCCAAGAGGGAGAAAGAGCTATTCGGTGGTTTTCTAATTGTCTGGTGGGTGAGTGCTTGCAACTGACAGGGACAATCCTCTGCAATATATATATATATATAAAGTTAACGAAGTGCCCTTATCCAACTGAAGCCCTGTTGACATTTTGCTGTACCAGAAAGATGCAAACGCTGAAAGAATCATTCACAAATGTAATATGTACGAAGCAATCTGATAAAGACCATACCAAATTACCTAGCACTAATCTTCGCAAAGTTGCTCGCACAACACAAAAGCATTCCAGGAAGAATATGGGAAAGTTCCCGAGATACATAAAGAATTGCGAGAACAAACGCGGCAATATCGTACATTGTCGTCATCATTCGTGTCCATGGACTTAAACTGGTACAATCGATGAACTCAATGAAATCCTCAAAGCGGAAGGACTGTTTAATTAAGCTGTAATAAAATGTGTCATAGAGAGACCCGTTCGGTCCCAGTGGGTAGCCGAAAGAACGTGGCAAGGCATAATCAGTAGAGTGAACAACAAGAATAACATAACTTTTTTTCAAGTTGGATTCCTGGGATTTACTAAAAATGTATTCATGTTTTACATAAAATCCTCATAAATGGGGTTTTATGTTAAACATGACCAAGGATGTGAACAATATCGGTAGTGAGTCCACGGCTGAGTAAAAAGATCTTGTCACACGAGATTAGAACAGTACATTGAAGTGGCACGGTTCTGCTTGAAACACAAAGTCAATAATACCTCCGCAAGGGATTTTGAACTCAAATGTTGTCAGCAACAAAGTGTCACGAATTCGCCGTTTGGTTCCAAGCGTCAAAGAATGATGTTGTAAAAGTTAAGTTTTGAAAGATGTTACACTGAGGATTCGTCTTGTATATCATATACCAAATCGTTTTCATAAATAGAGTGAATAAAGACGAATAGTTATCCGCACAACGTCTATACACTACTTAGCAGCATTTGTACATGTTTAATATTTTTTATTCCATATTTACAGTTTGAATGCTAATACTCCAAAAGGGGTTTCTATCTGTTGGCAGATTTTACCAATTGCGATTCGTTAAGGAGTTTTGTTGTAATGCTTAGCTTCAATACCTGTTGCATTTTTTCAAGAACCAGCAAGACAACATCTCACATCAAACAAGTTGTTAGTTTCTAGCCCGTAAAGAGAGACCAGTTGCGTTCACGATGCCGAATAGAAGCGACACAATATGACCCGACCAACTTCACTAGACCGTGTCTCACGTTGAAGAGAAACATAAAACTTAAACTTTAGTATTTGTATTTACTAATTACACACAAGAAGTGTATGATTCAGACCACCAATAAAAAATGGCGGCTTGGTCACACCTTTTCGTGCTTATATTCAAATTCAAATACACAATAGGTGATTGAAACTTCGGCTTATTATTTCACTTCAATTGAACACGGCACCTACAGCTGATGAAGATGGGGAGTATATCTACCTCTATTAACAATGAATATAGAGGTAAGGTTTATGTAAATGCTACTGATGGTGTTCATATCTGGATAATCTGGTTCGTTGGTCCACCGTATCGTTGATCATTCATCCTCAATCACAGCAGTACTCGACACCGACTTACGAGGAACAGCAGTGCCAAATCGATCCGGATATTCGTTTAACAAATCGTCAGAAATCCGATCTTTCATGGATCCAAGAATGACCACTGGTCTGGCAAAACTCAGCTGGACTGCAGTCACTGGGATGTAGGACAGTACAAAGCTGTCAGAGGTGTCACTGTCTGAGATGGGAAATGCGGAGGAGCGAAGCATATCACATTTAGAATTTCGTTAAAACAAAGAAAGATTGACTAAACCACTGTGTGATAGCGCATGCTAGCAACGAATCGGCACATCTGACTTTCCAGACGATATGGTTAAGTGTACAATAATAGTCAACCTTGTGTATTCTCCTTGCAATCCAAAATCTGTGGTAGCTTGCACGGTAAAGGCTGTGAAACTTCTAAGTTCCGTTTCATTAACTAAACCGATGACTTGTACATACATTACAAACACATAATCCTCATCATTATACACCTTAGCTTCAGGTGGAAAACACCTCAGCTATTGTGCCGCAATACAAGTGACAATAAAAAAGCAAAGAGTGGTACGCCGGCTGAGTCCCCAGTAACGGATGGACACCGTTCCGGAGAGCTAACAGCTGGCTATCGTGCCGTAAAAAGAAAGTCATATTATGCCTAACGACTGAGATCGTGATTGGAGGGGGATGCTAAGCAGGAGGGGGATGGATAAAGAAGCTACTAACACAAACGCCATTGGGACAGGCTCCAAGCCATATCAGCAAGTGTGTCCAAACAAACGTGTTCACCGTCCTTAGGACCCCAGCCAAGCAGTCGGGATGCACCAAACGACGCCAACCTCGAAGTGAGCCTTTTCATCTCGCTCGACCAAGTCATCCCGTGGCCTCCCCTCCTCTTCCAACCGCATCCCCAACGCGCAAACAATGCACGTCGCGGAGGTCGGTGTGCTGGCATGCGCAACACGTGGCCCAGCCATCGGAGCCTGGTGCGTGATATTATGGTGCTGAGCGGTTCACTAGCTCTTCCTGCACCAAATACGCGACGCCGAACAAGCTCACTGCTCACACGGTGCTCCCACCAGACATGAGCTAAGTTGCGAAGGCAATGATCATCGTGCATGACGAGCGTCTTTATGTCCGTCGACATAATGGGGCAGGTTTCACAACCACATAAGTGGGTTGAACGGCCGGCTGTATTATAAACTCTGCCCTTTAGGGCAAGATTGTTATCGCCTCGGCACCACCAATGATGGAGATTAATAAAAGCACCTGGAGCTTCTGCTATAAGGTTTGTGACCTCATAATCGATCCAGCGAGTGCTAATATGGCTGCACAGGTACTAGAATTCCTGAAGGAGTTTCAGGACCATTAATGATTTAAGATTATTACTGAAAACCAATAAATAGACAATGTGTCGATAGTAAAGCTTGTGGGGAGCTACGCACTAATTCTACAGTACTATAAACTGTAGCGTCCAGACTTGATGGAGAAAGAAAGGTGCTATTCGACACCGATGAAGTGAGTCGACTGAGCGACGCTAAGGTTTGTAAAAGGCAATGTTATAAGCTAACCTATGTGCCTTCCAGAAATTACCAAAACGTCATTTACCATAATGGAAACAAAAGATTTTGTTCACCTTACACGGGCTATCAAAATGTTTGTGACGCCTTCGGTCTTCCATCGAAACTTGTACTGCCTCGGCGCAGCAAAGGTGCAATTCTACAAAGTTTGCATGAGTGCATATAGGATGATAGTCTCCCTGAAATTTAACCATAAAAGGGATAATAAATGGGTCACACACATTTGTTCTCTCTGAAGATGGGCGCAGCAAACCCACGCTTCCTTACAACCGAACGTCTATTTTTTTGATGAAAATTCTTGTTGGCCGCCTTTAGTGCCCCTTCACAGAACAGACACCTTGGGGTAGTAATTCAATATGACCTCAAGCATTTGGAGGAATCTCTGTAGGTGTTAGGAACCGCGAAGCTACATTTTGGTCTCCTACGGAAACCGTTCGAGCAGTTGGACTCTCTCATCTTCCTGGGAATAATCCATGCATATGAGAGTCCCCATGTGGAGTAAAATCACTCAGGCATGGCGACGCTAGCTAAACGTCGATCTGGTTTCAACGGAGACCTCACAGAGAACGACAACCCAAAAGCCTAAAAATGGTTCCATCTGCCATGCCACATGTGACTAAAAGTTCTAGGATTGTATAGCGGAAGTTCTCACTGGTTTGAGGTGTAAACTTTTGTAAAACCCTAGTCACGTTTGCTGTAACCCCCTTAAACTTCACTGAAACTAAAAACCGAGGGGCAACTATCTGAAAGTGCCACCCAATACAGCCGGTTGAAATGTCGCCGGAACATTGTTTCCTCCGTGGAAATATATTCTTAAGTATATCACTTCTGTGCTCACGTTATTCATTTAAAAACGGATAGATGATATAATCTTCTATCAGCATCCTGTGACATGACGTCCTCCTGCTGGATGTCAATATGAAGCATACAAAAACCTTATGCTCACCAGCCGCCACGAAATCGGGATTGGCGGATCTGCAAGCGTTATGCGGATCTTATGGTGAATCCAAAGGTGCGCATTTTACTTTGTTGCAAAAGTTTCTTCGGACTTACTTGTTTCACATAGACCATCCGACGGGACTTGTGAAGCCTTGCCCATAGTGTATCATTGTTCCATAGGGTGAATTCTGTCTAAATCGGCCGAGTTGTGTTTGTGTTAAAAATCTAACTTTTAACTGGGGTAGTCGGAAGGGTGCTCGAACCTCTTCGGTGATTTTCTCACCAGTAGCTGAACAAGCACGTTGCTCTCGATGGGATGGGATAGGGATTTAGCTGTGAACATAGGTGAACTCGATAGATTCACCAGTGCGTGGTTTTTGCAGCATGGATCCAGTCATGTGTAGTGTGTTTGGACTCTCACTAACCACCCTTACCAAACTGATGTAACCTGAAGTTCCGATTCCCATCAGTCTATGCGTGGAAAAGCCGCGCGTCGTAAACCAATTGTAAGGGATATTTGGTAGACTACTACACTTCACTTACCAAGACACACTTCACCAATATAATAACAGTAATACTGATAATAATAATAATAATAATAATAATAATAACAAAGTCATCAAGATGAATATCAGGATTTTAAATTTTCAGGGGATAGTAAGGAGGTATTTTGTGTCGTTGAGAAGGTGCATCGCAGCCGAGAGCTACAAGGGTGTGCTACAGGATAGCTGGACACACGCGCCACTTCTTGTTGTATCGCCCCCAGCTGCTCTAACCCAAGTGGACAACCGGCACAACAAAACGAAAGCAGGCAATTGGTGGTTCGGTGTTGCTCCTCCCAACCCTGAGACCCCATGACCGGTTTCGTCCTCCTTTGGACTCATCAGATGGAGATACCCTGAGCTGGGGTGGACCTCGAGGTATAGTGTTCAAAGGTTGACGCCCTGACCACTATGGCTCCTAGCCCCTCGAGCAACGTTTGGCACAGCGGTAAAGTGTTCCAAATGGCATTTGGTGTACTCGCTGTGTGGTTGGATTGCGACTCGCAATCTCTATGCAGACCTCGGTCCTAAGTGGACCTCGGTCATTACGATCACAAGGACCGTAACCGAATTCGAAAGCAGGCAAGTTGCGCTTCATCAAAACATGGCAGTGTTCTAAAGCAAACGAGTAGGAGTCAAGACCAGCAAAAGCGCCGAAAACCACGCACTGAGTCAACCAATGACAAGACAGTCATATAACGCACCAATCCGAAGCCCTCAACTAGGAGTTATCGGTAGTGTGTATCTCCTCGGCAAAACTGTGATGAGCTACCAGAAACAACCATTGTTAATTTGTAATGTGATGAACAAACTGTTAAGTTTAAACAAACCATAGAAGTTGAAGATAACGCAAATGAAAGTTTGTACTTACGAAGCGTCACACAAACTGTATCTAATTAAGGAGTGCCCCTGATATCTTATTTCGTTGGATTCACACTGTTCACATAAATCCTGTTTAAGGTAAGTGCAGTGATTACTCAAAAATTGGTCATATGAGTCTAAAGCCGATGGAACCAAAACATAAGTAACCAGATAAAACCCGCATGCTTGCCATGCTTCAACACCTTTGAACAACTGCCAGGCGACTCATGTTGTTCCAAAACGCTACCCCATGGGGCATAGGAAACGAATGTTACGGACGGCCGAAGCCATTGCGATCAGGCTTACACAACCTGAACTATGCAAACAGAGGGCGCTTATTCAAGCGCTCCTTCTGCTCTGGCGCTAACACACTTCCAAACAGCTTTCACTTCACACTCTGACAACCACCGGGTGATGAGTGCGTCACCCAATCAGTTGAAAAGCAAGTCCTATGTCTCGTGAGCATGTGTGTGTGTGTGTGTGTATCTGCTGCCTACGTATACTGTGGTAGCCGCTGTTTGATTGGATCGACCAATTTATCGATTAAGACAGCTCACTTTCTGCCTCGCTCTGATTCGCTAATCTTTATCGCACTTCACCAGCCTATCCCGATTCAACTTTCCATTTTACAATTGTAAACGTCTGATGAGATTTATCGGAAAGAGTGCTCTTCGCTACCTTGTGTCTTATAAATGCAAATAAACTCTAAATGTGCGGCCGTTCATTACAGTGACTCATCCACCTATACAGAAACGTAGTATGGATGGATAAGCAACAACTGTGGTCTGCGTGCGCTTCCCAAGCAAGTATGGCTACAGCGGATCTGGTGTGAAATGGAACTTACCTTTCCGGCGATGTCTTTCCTTCTTCTTGTCTGTCAAAGAAAACCCCAACCGTTGGTTTGTCGCATGTTCCTCTGCATCAAGTCCACCACCCTGGGAGTGAGTTGTCGATCCGCTCGTAGAAGGACGCCTGGTTCGGGCAAAGAAGTTCACATGCCGTGTCCGAAGTCGTTCCCGCCGCTCCAGTCTAGCTCTGCTTGGTACCAAACCAACTGGACCAATCGGCTCGTTTGCAGTCGGATTTAAGCGTTGTGCCTGTGTGGAGTCAGCGTAGAGGATGGCAGCATAGAAAGTGGATTGTGTTGTAAAGGTACAGCCATTTACGATTTCTTGATTCGCATGTGTTGCACCGCGTGCAACTAAATGGCATTACGTAAAAGCATTTTGTTGTTCTTCCAGCCAGGTATTTCGGCTCGGGGAACAACCGAAGACCCTAATCTGCATGCCGAGCTATAAACAGACCCGATACTTGTGTTTCACATGATCCATAGAATGACTGTCAACTAGTCTAGCCCGCTGCAACTGAATCCCCGGATATCAGCTCGTATACTAATATCATTGGACCAGTACCTTGGGAGAAAACACTAAGAAGGAGGAGGAAAGCGGGTAACTGCGGAGAACTGAGATATCTTAGTGAGTAGTAGGGGGATTGATTGGGCTTTCGTAAAGATTCACAAAAATCAAATTAATCTCCATACTACTCAGCTCACATACTACCTCGATTGATGGTGGCTTAAAAAAGAAGTCGTTGCGCTGGGGGCCAGCCCTGTCCTCTGCAGGTGCAAAAGTACATGACTGTACAGGATGAGCCGTCGCTCATGGCTAAGTGGTATCAGTCGCTGGCTGGTATAAGTTAGGTCATGGGTTCGAGTCCAGCAGGATTCGACGGCTGCACGCGGATGACGAGACCCAGTGTGAGAAAACATCCATCTAGCGGTTTCCTAGATGTGTGATCAGATGACCAAGTCTCGTTGCAATGAATCTTCATAACAGATATCTCCTGGGTGCTGTCAGCTTTGTAGTACCGACATACTGGCGCCATCATGTAATCAGAAACGATTCGACATCGTGTGGAGTGGAAGGGTCAACGGCAATGCAACATCAATGCAGTTGTTACTGACCGGCATCTCAACAAACTATACAGATTTATAGATAAATAACGTCCAGCTCTTGGAATGACAACCAAAAATAGGCGAAAACAGCGACATCCTCAGAAGAAATAACAGCACAGTGATAATGTTTATAGCCGTTACCTGAAATCCTTTTGTTGTTAATGCCCTTAGTAAGCAGCGACAAACAAGTCACCAGATGTAGCAACCAGGGCAGAAGGTTACAAACTAATAACAACGCATAAGGCAAGTACACCATAGCAAAGTTTTGCTGACACGGTTGCATGTTATATCGTATAATATCGGTTACATGTTTGCGATTGGGTTGAAAGTACGGAATTGCTGCTTAAACTCATAACTTACGGCCTCCAGTACACCGAATTGGAAGCATAGAGACAAGTTCCCATACGCGCTTAATCGACTAACACTGGTTTTGCAACGCATTGAAAAGCGAAGCGCTTTGCTACGCCTGTTTAAACTGCATTTACAATAGCTAATGGATAAAAACTTGAGTGCTACATGATGGCGGACAAGTACTTTTGGTCGGTTCTATCGCCCAACGATTGTCTACTAGTCACTGGATTCCAGGCTGAAATTCCGCTTTTTTAATTTTCCCATTACGCCAAAGTGCCCGAATGCGTCGGTACTGTACAACTCGCAGTAGAAGTTCTAATTTGTTCGGTAACGTAGGGCGCAGTTTTTATTAGGGCTGATTTCTATTGGAAGCATTAGATAAAGAACTACCATAAGTTTTTCTGCAAACAAAATTTGGACTTATACACGTGATCACATTTGTTGGGTCGATACGCGACATCTGTTGTCTTTCCAAATGGATGAAGTCTTTGGGGATTGTGTCATGCAGTTGGGGTATGGTTGTGTGTTGCTCGCCTGATACACCGACCAGAACATATATCTTGCTAACTGGAAGACAGACCTCATCAATGGCAGTCACCGCCCACAAGTCGAACACACACACAAACGCATAAACCCACTTAATAATTGATGGTCGCGAAATGTTCTAGTCTGGCCATTTCCCAACGCTAGCAAAACCGTAATGCTTAATAATGGGCACCAAACCACTGGCTTCCGTTGAATCTGCTTCGTGTAGCCTGTCATATTTCAATACGGCATAATGTGAACATCTTGATGGTTCAGTAAAGAAACGGTGCACATGATATGGATGAGACAGAACGGAAAAGGCTCTTGATAAGGAATGACACACGAGTTCTCTATCAGCAATGCTACTTAATTTTAATAAGTTGGTTCTCTCATGAGATGGACAAAGTTGGTAGCGTATTTGTGAACAACCAGATTACTTGGTGCAATGTTTACTAAGCTAAGGGAAGATTGAATGTATAGATGCGTTTAACACACAGAGGGCGTGATTCAACCAACCCAAATGACTGAAATTTTCAGTGATCTCAGAATCCAGCAGTAATTGAATTTCCGCACCAGCGAACAAGGACTCGTGGGTTGTGTGTTGCACTTTTTAAGAATAATTCCACATACCCGGCCAAGTCATTCAACGAGATGATTAAATGATTGCTGAAATACTAGACCGAGGAAGCCGATACAGTTTACATAGAAATCCCATGGAATCATATTGTAACAGTGGTTTATGATTTAGCCTGACGAATTGAGTTCACCTCATCATTCAAACGCACTGTCCTACTGAGTTGTGTCACAAGGGACAGAAGAGAAATGCATTTCAAGAAAGAAGTGAAGGATCAACCGCCAGTTTGGAGTGAGCATTGGAACAATGACTCCATCCGATAGTTTCAACACGCATCAATACCATTCAACCACGTGGACAATTTTCTTAAACCGAACCTACGACATTTTGACCAAAAAGCGCAGAAATAATAGTCAATGCACCCATAAGAAGGCCGCTAAAGCAATAGGGAAGGCTTGTATTTCAAAATAATTATATGTCTTTTGAATATTTTTGAACCAATACATTCAATCAATGTGATAAGGAGGTCTGTACGAGTGCAGTAGTTGACTCCGCAGTTACGATCAAGAGATCATAGCCGGTACCGTGTAAGCACAGAGCTCGAAGGTAAGTGTACATTTCGGAGTTGCCATACCACGGTCAACTGATTTCAAGCTCGCTAGTTTACAACGCTGGCCTTACATTGAACACCGTGACTGATAACATTGCAGTGCTTTCTACTGCTTTGGGCAGATACAGTCGTGTAGATCCATGTTTTACTGGAATTAGGTGATAGTTGCAACCTAACAGGTGTTTAATACGGTTAAATGACTGAGGTATAGCGAGGAATAATACCGTCGTAAGGGAGGAGTTGGTACCGCTATTCCTTGACCTTTTTTCTTACCTTTTGAGGGGTCGCCCATCATGTGGTCTTGTCAACATCGCCGAACAACGACCAAGTTTAAAAAAATCAAGCGAACGACAGGAAGGATGTTAACGTACTACGCATTCTAAATAATACAATGAGAAGATGGGTGTTGCACGATGATATCATTTCGCGCTTTCTGATGGCATGCAAAGGAGAGATAATTAACAATCACGAAAAGGAAAATCAATGATTAAATGGTGTCAGAATGGGAATGGAAGTACCATAAGGGTAGAAACTCGGACAGAATCACAACGTTTGAGACAAGTGTCACTATCCCCAAAGAAGCTTGAGGGTGACAGTCAAATGTTTTGGCATACGTAGGTCCGGACGACTGTGATTAATAAACACAGCCTCCGTGAGCTTGAGTATTATGGTATTTTCATTAGGTAGATAACCGTAAACGCCAAGTTAGAATCAATTTGCTGCCCCATTTCAAAGTGATGTCTGGCTATCGCAGAGGCGGACAATTTGGATCTTGACTCTTGTCCCGGCGATAGTTTCGCCACACTTGTAGCAACCGATTTCGGGATGAACTCACCGAAGGAGGCTGTGGCAATTAATCACAGCAAAAACATTTTACTGTCACCCTCAAGCTTCCTTTGGGGAAGTGACACTTGTCTCAAACGTTGTGATTCTGTTCGAGTTTCTACCCTTATATTTCTTCCATTCCCATTCTGACACCATTTAAATCATTGATTTCCCCTTTTCGTGATCGCCAAATGTCGCTCGTTTGCATGCGATCAGAAAGCGCGAAATGATTTCATTGTGCAGCACCCCTCTTCTCATTGTATTATTAGGCTGATGCAGGGAACCCAGTGCTTCAAATTGCTGAGAAGAAGACTCCCAAATTACGCATTGTCAAATTGTTGCTCCGATTTATCCTACAATTCCAAGACGATAGTTTGACCTTGATGGATAAGTGAGCATAAGCGTGCAAAACACATGTTTTCTACACGCGACGAGTGACTGAGATGTAAGTTGTCTACCGCACATAAACCTCAGGTGCGGTTGTTGCACGGAGATAATAACATACACGGTTTCAGCTCCTTGCAAAGTTGATGTATTTCACAGTTGGACACTATGTAATACCTTTAAAGCTCAGTCCTACCTCAGAACACGCACCGCCACAGTTGTGATTCAATGTCGCACCTCATTCACATGCACCAACAACAGCGAGTCCCTAACAGTTGTGACAAGCTTTGCCCACGGAACTCTGTCATGTAGTGGTAAGGGAGTATCCATGCCATATGCACGCAAAAACCGGCTATTACTGCCTGACTAGGTGGCTTAAGGGTAGAGGTTTCGGCTAACAACTCAATGACGTCGGGTAGCCGTTCAGATCCTGCATACTATCGCCCAGTTACTCTGCTCCCTGTGCCCGCGAAGATGATGGAAGCGGTCATCGCTGAGGCTCCAATGGACCAGCCGGAAAAATACGACCTCAGGGCACCGGAGCAGCATGGCTTCCGTCAACACCGGTCATGCACCACCAACCTACTGACTACATGAGGTAGTTGGACGGAAGCGGCTGATGATGGGGTCGGAGTTGACGTCATCTATTTGGACTTCTCCAAAGCTTTCGACCGCCTGAATCACCGCGTCCTATTTCACCATCTACAGAGCTACTGAATCGGAGATCCTGTACTTGGTTGGAATGACAGCTTCCTTTAACAACAAAAGCTTCAAGTACGAGTTAGGGGATCACTCTCTAACCCGATTGAGGTGGAATGTGGTGTCCCGCAAGGCTCAGTGCTGGAACCGCGCTTATTCCTGGTGTTTATCAACGACCTGGCAAGAGTTATCTCCTCAAATTTCCTGATTGTGCCGATGACGCCAAGATACAACGGGCGATAAGAAACAATGAAGATAATGATCTACTGCAACATGACTTAAATTGCATTTAGAAATAGTCAAAGAGGAACCTGCTTCAATAGAACATAGTTAAGTGCAAGGTGATACATCTGCGTCACCAGCCGGTGAGCGCTTACAAGCTAGGAGACCACATCTTACAGATGAATTCTCAGGAAAGTGACCTGGGTGTATTGGTACAGGAAGATCTCGTGTGTTCAAAACAAGCAGAGAAGGCGACGAGAATCGACAACCAACACTTCGGCCTTCTTCGCAGAGCCTTCGGTCGGTTTGAACCCTCAAGCTTTCCGCAGACGCTCAACGCCTACGTGCGACCGCACATGGAATATGCTATTTAGGCGCGGCAGTCATGGCAGAAACAGGATCTCGTTGCTCTCGAGACTCCTAAACGAAGGGTAACCAAAAACGTCAGGGGACTATTTCACCTGTCCTATCAGCTTAGACTGAAATATCTAAGAATGTGCACCAGTCGATATCTGCTTTTGCGCGGGATCTCATAATCATAAACCAGATTTTGAAGAACGCAGAACACATTGACCGTCCGCTGCTGCAATTGAACTACAACACTAACCTAAGAGATCATCCTCTAAAACTGAAAATACAAAATAGCCTGCTTGAATGCCGTAGCAATTTCTTTTCCCTCCGAGTGTGTGAGTCTTGGAACACCCTCCCTAATTATATCATCTCTGCTTCCCAATCTGGCGATAATTGAAAAACGAGTTGACGATGCGTTGCCGCATTTACTGTTCATGAATTATTAGCCAGGGGCTACAAATCGCAATCTAACGGTGTCTTACCAAATTGCCAACCAATAGATTAATGGATTTACACTTGTAATACTCGAACATCTCGGCTATTCTACATAAGTCTATGGTGAGTCCACCAAAGCGCTTTTCACTTTCTCGTGCAAGTTACTCTTCGCAATAATTTCCATCCCACGGGACTTGTTGAACAATGTCTTTTTACTTGAAATAAACCACTGTTCCACTGTTTCATCATTATCTGATTAAATGAGGTCGAAACCGGTCGCATAGTGTGGCGTTTTTAACTGCTCATTTCTGTCCGGACGTGATTCGGACAATTCAAGTACATATATATATATATATATATATATATGTATATATATATATATATATATATATATATATATATATATATATGGTGGGCGGCATCCGGATTCGGATTTGCCTGTCACTGTGGCCAGTCACAGGACGCCTGCGCCTACAGAGGGACCATGGGTGGCTTGCGCTGCACCACTCACAGCTCCATCCACACACCCCATATCCAGTGTAAACCCGAAGAAATAAGACCGGGAGACATGTGAATGGGAGCCACGTTTCATCAACGGAGCCGGCCCATACTTCCTAACAAGCAAACATAAGCACGCTCTAGTTGGGGAGTCAAGCGCACACAAGGTGGTGGCTGGACCGTAGTCCGCTCCACACTGAGTGCATGGAATCACTCTTCGCGCCCAGCACGGCCACAAGGACCGTGCACCACCTCCCCTCCAGCAACGACCAACTGTCTCCTGGAGCCAGTATGGATGAGGTAGTGGGTAATAGACAGGTAGGCATCTTGTGAACATGCATATCAAGCGCAGCCACACCTGGGATGCCAAACAACAGCCAATCACTTGAAACGAGGAGATCAAATAAAATAACTCGAATAATGCATACGGACACGGCGACATATCCTTCACTAAATTATCGCATAAATATTGGTTACGAACAAATTCGCTATATGTTCAATACGTCTGAAAATAGATCTTAGGAAAACGCTACAATCGCGAAAATCTTATAGAAGTTGATTACATTAGCTTAAGCGACTAGTGCAAGTTTATAGAAGATAGTTCAGATAGACCTTAAGTTAAGATTAAAAAAAACATTAAGACAACATAGCAAACCCACCACCTGAAATAAATAGACTTAGCATGCAAGCATGCGGTTAGTAAACCGAATTCAGTGTACCTACAAACGTTGCGCCGGTTCTGCTTAGGTTCTTTACAGGACCCGACGTCGTTGGCCCATAGTGGCCCCGAGTGGGCCTCGCTCATGGCTCACTATGCCTGCCTGACTCATGCACTCGCGACCACATGTGCTACAGCACCATACACTCGCTGTCGATGCAGTACAACGCATCGGCACCTGTCGTTTCCGCAATATATATATATATATATGCTTGGTTAAGTAGTGGCGAACTTGGCCTGTTACGACAGACCTGACTGAATTACTAATTGTGTTCGAAAGCAACTAGCAGTCAAGCTTAGATTGAACTAAACGTACGGGTGAAAATTTCGACTTTCTTTTTATTTGATAATAAACTTGGTTGCCTCCATTGGCAACATGAGTCGCCTTGTGTTATTATTCGCGGAACCCACGAGACAACATGGGATGCATACGTCCATCAGAATTCGTGTTATACTACGCTTACAAATAGCTGAAGTAAACTAAGCATTTTTAAACAGTAAGGATTTGAAATGAGAGAAACGCTCACGTATTATTCTATCACTCAAGAATAGAATAGGCCTACTTATCGATATTCTTTGGATAGGCATTTTACAGGGTTCCTATCTGGAAGAACAATACTGCCTGTTGAAGTCTATAACCATATCGTTGCAAACCGGCTTATAATATTTGATCTACCTCACAGCCTTGCAGTGAGGTGACCAGAAAGGCCTACTACTGATATCAACCAGGAAACACGGAGATGTTTTATAAAAACTGCGTACTTGCCACCATTCGGGGTCCGTTTGATTTGTCACGCAGATTAGATCTCCAGAACGCAGCGTAAACGCTTTCTTGGGAGCGGCCTGGTGACTATCTTTCAGTGGATCATAGTCGACCTGGCACCTCAGGAAAATCTCCTTTGCATCACTTGGCGAGCTGGTTGGTGTGGATTCAGTGTGCTGAACACGATGTGTGAGACTTTTGGATTCCCCAGTTGAGCGCTTGCGATGGCGCTGTTTGCCTGGACGTGTTCCATGCAGTTCAGTTTGTAGGCGTTTGGCGGTTTGATGCGAAAGTTTGTGACCGACTGCTCTGAGTTGTCGCGCGTAGCAACGTTCAAACTCCGCATACTCTAAGAGAGATGGATGAACGCAATGAAGAGAGATGATAGAGGATTAGTAAATTAAGTCGGCAAATATCAGATACATTTTTGTATTTGTATAGATATGCCTACATCTTGCGTAGCTGTGAAAAAAGCGGAGTGCCGTTGTCATCGTGTTTGTTGGTAGTGAAAGGTCAAGTGAGCAACCGGTCGACTTAGGTCACACCGGAAAGGTTGTACATACCATTGCTACTTTCGTGTACGTTCCTCGCAGTTAGATACAGGCAGACAGCCACAACAAACCCAGGAAAGCGCTGGACGGCCGTTTCGTCCCATTGGGACTCGTCAGTAGCGCGCACCCGCCGAATCCTGCCGGATAAGAACCCACGACGTCACTCTTGCGAGTCAGCAACTTATGTCACCGAGCCATGGGCTATGGCATCAGACCACCATGACTGATATCTAACTGCGATATAGCGCGGCTGGTCCTCCACTGGCTCAGTGACATAAGTTGCTGACTCGCAAGAGTGACGTCGTGGGTTCGAATCCGGCAGGATTCGGCGGGTGTGCTCCACTGAGGAGGCCCAATAGGACGGAACGGCCGTCTAACGCTTTCCTGGACTGTGGGTAGCGATCTGCCTGTGTCTAACTGCGACGAACCTATATGAAAGCCTAATAAATCCCTCTACTACTTACAAATAACCATTGCTACTGATGAGCATGTTCACTCTATCGCTGGAAGCTGGCAGCTATCTAGACCAGTGGAAAACGTCATTTGTTATGCTTTGGCATAAAAAATGTCTCAAACAAACGATTTCCAACTACCGACCAATTCGCCTTGCACCGATAATCGCTCGGCTATTTGAAAAGCTGGTCAGAATGAAGATGATGCACTCTGTTGATTCTATTGGCCTGATCAATACTTTGTAGCATGGTTTTCTCAATAAGCGACCGTACACGACCTGTCAACTACATTACCTTAAGCACATTTCAGAATCAATTGATTCCGGCTATGTGGTAGTAATCTTGGTTATTGACATACAGCAAGCGTTGGACCGAGTACCGCACAAGGGACAGTTACCTACGTTGGAGAACTTTGGGATCCGGGACCCAGTACTATTGTCATATCTGAGTGATACTCATCAGGTAGTCACTTTAGGTGATTATCGCTCTTCTCCACGTTCAATTACCAGTGGAGTCATTCAAGGGAGCGTGCTCGGTCGCTCTCTCTTTTTGCTCTACATCAATGACATTACCGCATCTGTAAAACATGGTATGACATTGTTATTTGCTGACAATATCAAAATCGTTTATATGCTTCGGCATGACGAGCTCATTCAAGATGACTTACATTGCCTTGAGTCACTGTGCTGCACATGGGTGATGAATCTCTCGGCCAAGAAATCAAACACCATGTCTTAAGACTGCTGCATCCTCGAAGGATCTATCGCCCTAAACAATGTATATCACGATGGTCGTGCGCTATCTATTCGGTACGAAACCAAACGTCCAACTAAAAGCAATGGGTAGAACACATAAATTAAGCTAGGGAAAAAGTTTATTGGACGAGAGGAGAGTTAGCTAATGCTAAAACCAAAGCACCAGAAGAGAGCTAGCTAGGGAGGATGTAGTTGGACTCGAGTGCGTGGACGGAGCGTCTTCGCAGTCAAGTTGCGCGCCAAAGGCAGAGATCATGTTCGTGTTTCCAAAAATGGGAACAACGTTCCAACAGGCAAACCGCCTTATTCCCTAATACATAAGAAAGCTATAATTTGAATATATTTTAGAATAATTTACACAGTCATACAGGGGAATCTCCAGGTCACTACAAATGTACGCTTCCCTACTCAGTTGTCCACGCGAGATCTTGGGATTAGGTACTCGTCTACCTTCAATTTCTCCGAACAGGCCCAATACCAAGTAACACATGCCAGACAGTCTATGAACAATATATCAAACAAAATGCACACAACTAATGGTAGAGTTGAGCTTTTCAATCTACTCATTCAGCCCATCCTCGAATACTGCAGCATAATATACAGCAATATGAGAAAGAGTGACAGAATTTCTGTGCAACACCTGCAGAGGTCATTTACTAAACTGCTGATTGTTAAACATTCTGCAATGAATTATCGAGAAGGTTGCAACGAAATTTATCTGGAACCGCTTTGGATTCGGCGACTGAAGCACAATTTGTTGTTGCGTTTTAACGTGCTACACAAAAATACCTATTCCGAACAGCTTCCACTCAGTTTACAACGTTGCTCCACTCGTGCGCTTCGCAACAATTGTTTTACACTGAATTTGTCGAAGGCCAGAATAAACATCCGTTCTAATTTCTTTGTGGTCGGATATAGCTATTTGTGTAATAATCTACCAATAAAACCCAAATCATTTGATCATGTCAAGACATTTGGAAGCAGTCGCCAATTACCTTGATATAACTACCATAATCACTTTATTTACATGGGAAGATCCCTTGATGATCTGTTGCAAGAGGGGCCGAATAACATCTGAACACCAATGTTTTCATAACTAGGCTTTGGCTCAACCATCCGTCAGAATGTTAATACATGAAACGCATATCCTAATACTCCACCTGTGCATGTCACCCATACAAGAGCATGGACTCTTCTGTACAAATTGATCTGTGCCGCTATAGACATACTTTCTCTCATCAAGGGAAATATACGTATTATTATTAGTATATGTGAGCAGAAACTTGGCAGCTAGATTTACAGAGTGCGGATGAGAATCACACCACTCCCCACTGACGGGTTTCTACACTCTGCACTTGATTCCTGTTAGAAGGGAACACGATTGGCTCAATAGCTATCAACACTCCGACGTGCAGGGCGAATATGGGATGGGGACTCCGTGTGACAAACGCTAGGTTTCTCATATTACAAAGTGCTGGTGAATGTCGTCGGCGCTTTACGTGAACAGATGGCCAATACTGAATTGGCACATGATGTTCAGATCTGGATTACGTTCAGCATATGCAGTCAGAATGTTAAGTTATCCATATTCTATTTCACGAGGGGGCTACCACAAGTCGTTCCAACTAGGTAGACCTAGGCTTCGTCCATTCCTCGTCTTCGCATTCTGGTGACAATTGGAAGAAAGTCGCAAATGGGGTTTCAGAATGTTGTGGTTAATACGCCGTTCTTTCGGGGTCTTAACTGCCGACATATTTGTGAAACTGTTCTCAGCTTTCGTTCGGCCCCATCTGGAATACTGCTTTCAACATTGCCCGCCATGCGTTGTTCGGGACAAAATGGAGCTCGAGAGGGTTTTGAGAGTAGGTACTAAATTGGTCGAGCGTTTACGGGGTCAGTCATACCCCGAGCGTCTACTCAGCTTGGGTATGTATTCAATGCGCTACTGACGGCTTCGATGAGACCTAATCCTTACTTATCGCATTCTAACAGCGAAAGTTGGACCGGACTTGAGCTAGCTATTTACCCCGGCTAGCTTGCCTTGTCTTCTCGCTCATCCCATGAAGCTACACAAGCCGCGTTCCGACCGGATCAGGGCGGAAACTCGGTTATCGTGTAGAGTTATCGAGCGCTACAACTCGCTTTCAGAAAGTGTAGTCAGTGGACCTACGGTTAAGGGTTTCGAGCGTCGGTTAGACGCTCTTGGGGGACAACACGAAACCTTTTCCTTCTCCTGACCATATCCATCTTCCAACTTTGAGTTCATATTCTTTCATTCTCCCCCCCTTTGGGATTATCCTTCATTTAAATGACTTTCCTTCCTCTATATCTTCCATTATCTTTACGTCTTTCTTAATTCACGTGATCTACATAGCGGGTCTGCTAGTACAGGGAACGTACGCAGTAATTGGTTGATCAAGGTCTGGTTCGAGTGTTTCGTTTTTAGATCCATCAAGACCTAGTATCACTTAATAATTTTCTGACTCAACGATCCGCTCAAGAAGGAACACAAGGGATTTTCCTATCGTTCCAGTCCCCTCTGAATCTGAATCTGATCCCCGACCAGGCTGATAGCGTCGACGAGTCCTCAAAAGGTATATACAAATGTTGACTGGAGATGATACTGATCATTATCTTGATTAGATGTAAATGCGACATCTTTAAATGGGGTAAAACACAAATTAAATTACAGCGCCGCGAAGATCGTGTTTAGCGCCTTTCGCTCACTTTAATCAAATAAACAGCGTCTCATTATCTTGTGAGTACTTGGGGACACCCCTAAGCCACCAAGTCACGAAGTGCAACGCTTGTTACGATGTTAAATGTTGACTGGAGGGGGTGATTCTGCAGCACCCGTTGTGTGTGAATGAATTGTGAAGCGCAGCAACTATTGTGACTTGGCAGTAGACATCTCAGATGCCCAGCCTCCGTTTCTGGAATATTTTATATCGATTTACCCAGAAGTGAATGAGAATTATACTACTAACAAATGTACGGTTGGCTTGCCTGGAGTGTGTTTCCGTAGAGCTAGGGGCGTATTTCTTTCCATTTCCCACCATTTGTGTTCAAGTTTTTGCGCTTTCTAATGGTGTGATTAGTTTCTTAGTACGGATAGTGGATGTAAACATATTACTATATATTTGGCGATAGCCCCCATTAGTTTGCCGATAAGTCAGTGTTGAGATAGCCACATATACATCAGCTGACAGAGCTTTCGATGCTGCATCGAATAGCCATTAATTGTTAGTGATTGGTGCAGTGGGATAGAAGTCGTATTTTCCCCATTCTTCGCTGCATTGCCCTGAGTTGGCAATTTTTCATGTTGGTCGGTTGGCATCTTCCAGTTTTGCTAATTGATCGATAGTTGTAGAGCATATTACTAGCGTCTGACAACTAATTTCGCCCGGTTCTCTTGTAATGGTCCTGGTTATTTGTTTCAGTGTGATAATATTAAGATTTTCCGACCCGTAGTAGTTTATTTTTAATGGTAAATGTAAAAAATCGCCAGCTGTACGGCGTAAATGCGTTTCGCTGCCGCGTGACCACCACTAGTTGCGCATGGGCTGAAAAATACGACGAGGACGCCCGCCCCTACGCGGATGCGAACCGGTGACCTTGTGATTCCAAACCAGGTGCGGAGACCACTCGGTCACCGGCCGGCAATGCTATTAGAGGTGGAGCAAACAGTAAAATGTCGGAAACTGTTTTTCTGTACCAAATATACACGAAGTAACCACCTGTTCTCCTTTACCTTTTACTCTTTTATACTTAGTCGGTTCATTGAATTTAGTTTCCTTTATTTTTCATTTTTATATTTTTTTGCATAGCACTGCCACCTTTATTCTGTAGGTTAGCTAAACTTTCTTTCTCTTTGTTTTAGCACATTAAGTGGAATGATTAGTTGGAATGATTATTTGCTCTTACCGTACATTAATTGGCATCGCATTAGTTACATTTATGCGACCTGAGACTTATGGTTACTCGTGTTTCTTCGTCAACGATATTCCATATGGATTTTGCATAGAACTTTCTTCCATTACCCACTGCCTTCGCTATCTCCACCCTAATTACTGCCACCACAACCTGCACTCGGTAGATTTGCATACTCTGTCGTATTTCCATACCTTTGTAGAAGAATTGGCGCGCCACATGGGAAACTACACAGGACATCATCGGACCACCGTCGTGTCGAGGAGCTTGCACCTAATGCTTGTCGTCTCTGCGGCAGATCTTTTACTTCAGCGAGATGGCTGATAATACACCGCCGACAGACACTCCGAAGACTACCGCGTCCTCATAACATCGAGGAAAGCTATTCGCATTTGGAAGAAGGAAGAATATGCCGAATTAAGGCGGTTAATCAATGAGCTGCAGCCCGGGAATGGAAATCTGAAGAATCTATTGCTCAACCTTCACCAGCTTTTAGCAAGGAGAATGCTAGCGACAATTAAGAGAAGGTTGCAGCACCTCAAGTAGACCAGACCACCACGGCTAAGAAGTGTAGACATCAAGTGAGCTTCACACAGAAGTGCCGGCATTTCATCATCAACTACGTAGGACTCTTCCGCATAGTATTCTTTTTCGCCTGGCCATTCACCTAACTGCAATTACACATCCTTCACAACATCATCCAGCATTCCCATTGTTCTCTGACACAATAACTTGCGAGTAGAAACCCATCCGCCTGCAACCCACTTCAACTGTCCCCCCCCCCCAGCCGCGGACATCGACCTAAGAACGGCCCGCGGTGCTGGTTGCGGCCTGTTTCTCTACGTCTGTCTTGAACTGCTAGGCCAACAAACCTGCTGGCTCTTATACAACAATCACAAACTGCTCAGTATCTACCGGCATCTATTCCAGTCATCGGAATATCCCACCTACCACGTTTCACAAATCATTTCACTTATCCCACCATTCCTTTGTTTCTCCAAGGTTTGCAAAGGTATTGTCCTAACAGCCAAACAGTCGGTCGATATCACGTAAGCAATATTAATCGCCACCCAGCCTCACCAGCCGTCTACGTCATCTGACTTATAGCAAGAGAAAAATTTATCGGATTTAACGACCGACACAATTCTCCCGCATTATTGTGACTTATGCCACCACTCTTCTTCCACAAGGATTTCGCCTTGTTGCGGAACCTACGGTGGTGGTGCGTGAAACCGTGTCGGTTTTCCGATTCGGGAAACGACCACGCCAGCACGTGATGGCGACGATGCAAGCTGGCATATGCGAGCCAGGTCGCCTATTCTACTTGCGGGACGTAACATCCGGCATGCGATTCCTCGTAGACACGGGTGCCCAAGTCAGTGTAGTTCCCCAGCGTCCAGAAGACCTGAAACACCGCTCGATATACAGCCTCCAAGCAGTTAACGGCACACAAATCCGATCCTATGGAGAACGTTCTATCACTCTAAATCTCGGTCTCCGTAGATCCTTTCCTTGGATTTTCATCATAGCTAAAGTGCCTACTGCAATACTAGGCCTTGACTTCTTTCAGCACTATGGCATTATCGTAGATCCTAAGCGCTGTCAGATCATAGATGGCCTAACGCAACTATCACAGGCTGGTTTTAAGAGCTCCGTAATGTCTATGAGTCCGCAGCTTGTCCCGCCTCAAGCTTCTTCGATGTATTTGGATCTGTTGCGCGAATTTGCCAGCATAACGAAGCCCGGATATCATCCTGGTGATATCAAACATGAGATCGTTCATAGGATAACGACAGCAGGCAGTCCAGTATTTCATCGTCCTCGGCGACTAGCGCCAGATAAACTTTCCGTAGCGAAGGCCGAGTTCGATCATATGTTACAATTGGGCATAATACGTCCATCCAGCAGTATGTGGGCATCGCCCCTACATATGGTCCCGAAGAATAAACCTGGAGACTGGAGACCATGTGGGGATTATAGGGGACTGAACGCCATCACCGTCCCAGACAGATACCCCATTCCGCATCTCCAGGATTTCTCATCCTCGCTGTACGGAAAGAAAGTGTTCAGCAAGATAGATTTAGTACGGGCATACCACCAAATTCCCGTTCATCCTCAAGATGTACCTAAGACTGCCGTCACTACTCCCTTTGGCTTATTTGAGTTCTTGCGAATGCCATTTGGTCTTCGTAATGCAGCTCAGACGTTTCAACGTTATATAACTCAGGTCATTCGCGAGCTGGACTTCGTTTTCGTCTACATCGACGATGTCTTAGTTGCAAGTCGAAATCATGACGAACATTTGCGTCATCTGCGACAGCTTTTCGAACGATTTGCGCATTATGGGGTAGTTATCAACGCCGCCAAGAGTCAGTTAGGAGTTGATACGGTAGACTTTCTTGGTCACCGTGTTTCCTCCGCTGGAATTGCACCCCTACCGGACAGAGTGACAGCCATCACTGAGTATCCCATACCTGATTCCATCAAAAAGTTACGCCGGTTCGTTGGCATGGTTAACTTCTACCGAAGATTCATCCCGCACTGTTCAGAGTTAGCCCAGCCACTTACCGAACTACTCAAATTAGATGCTAAAACATTCAGCTTTACGGAATCAGCTAAACACGCATTCAGCGAGCTAAAACACCAGCTAGCAACTGCCACTCTTCTTGTGCATCTGGATCCTAAGGCCCCGTTACAGTTAACGGTGGATGCCTCAGATGCAGCTGTAGGTGGTGTGCTTCAACAAAGACAGAGAGGTGAATTGTATCCAATTGCCTTTTTCTCTAAGAAATTGCAGCCTGCCGAACGACGTTATAGCACGTTCAGCAGAGAACTCTTAGCTATTTACCTCAATGTGCGTCATTTCCGACATTATTTGGAAGGACGTACGTTCACGATATTCACCGATCATAAGCCGTTAACGTATGTACTGCGTTCTGCTTCTGATCGTCTTTCCCCACGAGAAACTAGACAATTAGATTACATTTCCCAATTTACTTCTGACATACGGCATTTGTCCGGCGCGAATAACGCCGTAGCAGATGCCTTATCAAGGGCGGAAATCAACGCTCTATTCGAACATTCCTCCATTGACTTCCAAGAACTAGCCACAGCGCAGCATCAGGATAATCAGTTTCTTCAACAACTGCAAGAAACCAATCTTCAAGTGAAAGCCATTCCGCTGCCTGGTAGTTCGGATGTTCTGATGTGTGATCTTTCGACAGGAAAACCACGACCTGTCGTACCACCAAACTATCGGCGAATCATCTTCGATTCAATCCACGGTCTATCACATCCAGGCATCCGCGCAACTCGCAAGCTTATTTCTGATCGCTTTGTGTGGCCAGCACTAAACAAAGACGTGCAGATCATGGTGAGAAACTGCCTCCCATGTCAACGTTCAAAAGTGCAACGGCATACTCAGGCACCACTTGGCAACTTCACCGTTCCCGATGCTCGTTTCAGTCATGTGCACATAGACACCGTTGGTCCACTGCCGCCGTCGAGTGGATACAAGTACCTACTGACTTGCATCGATCGCTTCACTCGTTGGCCCGTGGCAGTACCCATCGCAGACATTTCTGCAGAGACGGTAGCACATAACTTTGTGGCTCATTGGATCGCGCATTATGGTGTACCATCCACCATAACAACTGATCGCGGTGCGCAATTCGAGTCGACGCTTTTTCGAGAATTAACCAATACTCTCGGAACCAAGCGTATAAGAACAACTGCGTACCACCCATCATCGAACGGGTTAGTCGAACGTTTCCACCGTCATCTCAAAACAGCTTTGATGGCATGTTCCGACACTACCCGTTGGACAGAAACCTTACCGCTGGTTTTATTAGGTCTTCGAACGACACCTAAAGCTGATTTAGGTTGCTCCACCGCGGAGCTGGTATATGGTACCACGTTAAAGCTCCCGGCTGATCTCGTTCAACCGACCGACATCGACGCTATAGATCCTTCAAACTTTGTCCATCGGCTACGTTCATCTATGCGTGAACTGCACTTTATCCCCACACGCGCACACACCAATAAGTGTTACATACCGAAAGATCTCGAAACTTGTTCACACGTGTGGGTACGAAATGATGCAGTCCGCAAGCCATTACAACCACCGTACGAAGGACCATTCGAAGTGATCGCTAGAACCGAAAAACATCATATGATCAACAAGAATGGTAAAGTCGATGCGGTTTCCGTAGATCGTCTTAAACCAGCGTACATCGAAAAACCTTGTAAACAACAATCTACTGATTCTTACTCGACACCGTGTACGCAGCAGACACCACAGCTCGTTGAAGATGACCCGCAGCTTGTAACATCTAAAGCTAAGCCACAAGGAGATATTAATACGCGGCAGACACGGTCAGGAAGGCGAGTCCATTTTCCAGACCGCTTAGTGTATCACACATCTTGACAATATCATCTTGTGCTGCTGATCACTTGCTAGTACCGCTTGCTGCCAGTCTCCTCCTGTTTGTTTTTCTCCAGATTCCGCCAGAATGCAACTGAACATCTCGCACGAGGAAGAAGCGGATTATCCAGTCTAGACAAATCTAACATCCGTGCATTTACCATCCTGCACTGCTCCCAAATCTTTCATTGTACCTTACACACAGAATATTAGCCTGCATGCCTCCCATACCTCAGCCTCGGGTATTTCATGCGACACTGTACCAGGTAGAGGTCAGTTTTACCGGCTATTCCCACCGGGTTTTTTACTCCTGGTCGCTTGAACATCGTGCGACTAGCGCACTGGTGGGGAGGTATGTAGTGTACCTTTCACATTTTATTACATAACCTTCCGGTCAGCTGATAATATCGCCAGCTGTATCGACTATTCTTTCAAACGCTTCATACATCGATCAACTTTCCTTTTTGAATAGCCGGCTGACTCTAGACTACCTCGTGTATAACATCTGGGAGCTCCAAATATACATTTATGGGAATACACGTATTCAATCCCTTTTGGCATCCAAGAATGACGGGTTATTAAACCAGGAACTCCGCAACCAAAAGGCGTTACCAAAATACGATAAGTGGACCGCCGACACATACATAGACTGATACAGCGGATTTTTCCAGCAGATCCAACCGATCATATCGTGTAAGCAGGTGATGTCACACTATTTGCTTGCAACAGAGAATTCCTGCTAGAATTCCTGGGTCAATTTAGGGAGGATATGCGGCAACTCGGATTATCAGTTAACCACCTTAAATCGTTAGTACTATGTGTCACAGTGGAAAGCAAAAATTGTTTATTTTGAACGCTGCGCAGCTCCCCTGTGGCGCTCTCCAGATCCCGTTTATCCATCCGTCTGAGGGATTCCGGCTACTTGGGATGACATTTGATGGCAAGTGTAAATGCCCGTCGAAGTCGCTAGGCCAACTAAAAGCACAGGTACAGGAAACCTCACAAGCCTATCAAAGCCTATCAGCGCATGGACATCTAGCGCACCTCTCTGTGCAATCCTGAAGCCATTCCATATGCTTTGCGCAAACTGTGTTGTCAGAGGGAAAAATCACAATGCCACCGAAACCAATTCCAATCGACTCGCCGAGAATACCACAAAAAACCGCTAGCGGCCGACCATACAACGGTCGGCACAACCTATCACCATAGTCACAAGTGTTTCGGATCGTTGCTGAGAACCGACACACTTTCCTGCATGTACACGAATGCCCAAGGCTTCCTCAGCAAAATGGACGAGCTTCGGTTGCTCCAGGAAACAAAAGCTTGAGGTCTCATCTCCATAACTGAGACTTGGTTGCACTCAGGGATTAAGGATGCCGAGATCGCGATTCAGGGTATGCCCTTGTTTCGACACGATCGTCCCAGCAGGGGAGTTGGTGCCATCCTATACTATCATAATGACTTACAAAGTGAACCGCTGGATTATCTGGAGACGCAGGTAACCGATTCGCTATGGTGCCGCTTGCGTTTAAGACACAGCGACAACTGCTTCGTTGCAGTCTTATATCGCTTCTTATCATCCACTCCAGAGAGGGATTCCCACCTAATATCATCACTGACGAAATGCTTACTCCCAACTTATAGCCATCTTCTTATTTCCGGCGATTTCAACGTGCACGACTTGGAAACCTCGGCATCCCTCAGTAAAACATACAAGACCGAACGGTAAGACCTTATCGCAAGTATTCATCTCTACGATAATATCACCTAACCTACCAAGTACAGAGCTGATAACAAACCATCGGTACTTGACCGCGTCCTTACAAATGAGGAACTCATGATCAACAGTCCATTTATAGATACCGCACTACGGTTAAGCAATCATGTCACCATACTCTATAACTATGTGTGTTATGCTGAATATCCTGAGGAACACACAGAACCAACACGTACTATCACACATTACAACATCTTGAACAACCTAGTTGAGACAACCGATTGGGAATTCTTGAAACGTGGCTCATCTGATAGCGCCTGGATTCAGTTTGTTGGACGCTTCAGCAATCTAATCGCAACTACTTCGGAAACAAAGAGGGTTAGCTCCACCAATTCCCCATCTTTCATTGGAAGTAGAACTCGCAAACGCGTGTCAATAAGGAATGCAGCTTGGCACACTTGCAGAGCTCGTGCTTGTCCTGACACCTGGAGCGATTACGTGACCCAGCGCAAACACTGTAACATGCTTGTCCGTGAGGACAAATTGACTCACCAACAACATTTGGTGTGCAAATTTGCCAACAACAAAGTTTCTATACAAGCATATTACCACCATCCGGAAAGTGAATCTCGGTATCCTCCCACTTAACACGTCAGTCGGAGTAGCACAGGGTGCCGAAGAGGCAGCCAACGCCCTACGAATGCAGTAGGCCCCAACCTTCCAAAGAGAGTTTCGCCAGCGTTACATAACCACATCCCTAGCCCCAACTTCAACACACATTAACATTGATTTTACTGCCACAGCTGGTTTGTAGAAACTGCTCTCAGTACAACCCTATAGCTCTCCAGGAATCGACTATATTCACCCAAGGGCGCTGAATGTAGCAGCAACAACGCTGGCCGGGCCATTATCGTATTTCTCACAAACGTGCCTGGATAAACAAATTGTATTACGTTATGTGGGAACATGGCGTAATCACACCAATTTTCAAAAGTGGTAACTGCTCGGGTTCCGCCACTTATTGCCCGGTGGTCCTCCACCCTGTTCTCTCAAAGTTGATGGAGGTATTCATCGCTGAGGCTTTAGGAGACCATCTAATAATAATAATAACGTGTCAGCTGTATGCCGTAACGGCGCTTCGCTGCCGCGCGACCACCACCAGTCGCGCGCGGGCTGAGTATACCGCGAGGACGCCCACCCCTACGCGGACTCGAACCGGTGACCTTATGGCTGCAAAGCAAACGTGCAGACCACTCGGCCACCGACCGACTAGTAGACCATCTAGTACCCCACAACATCATAGCACGCGAGCAACAGGGTTTCCGCCAGCATCGTTCATGCACTACCAACCTACCGATTGCACGCCGTAGTTGGACGGAAGCGGCCGATACAGGCAGAGGGACAGACGTTATTTACCTCGACTCTTACGAAGCCTTCGAACGACTGGATCACCGCATTATGCTTCACAGTGTCAAAAGCTTTGGAGTTGGTGATCCTGTACTTGGGTGGATCAGAAATTTGCTGCATTATCGGCCACTGCAGGTCAGAGTTGGAAGTGCGTCGTCCGATCCGATTTATTTCGAATGTGGAGTTCCAAAGGATCAGCGTTGGGGCCGCGTCTGTTACTCGTGTTCACTAAAGAGCTTACACGTTTGATTACTTTAGATTTATTGCTGTTCACTGACGAGGTTAAGATGAGGAGGACGATCGCCGACCCAGCAGATCACGAAGCACTTCAGCGAGACCTGGACAAAGCGTATGGGTGGTCAGTTTGCAATCTGCTCCAGTTCAATTCGAGGAAGTATAAGGTGGTTCACATTCGCCACCAGCCGAACATTACATACAGAGCTGGAGACCATGTTCTGCATGCAGTCGCCCAGGAACGCGAGCTTGCGGTACTAGTTCAGGCTGACCTGGGCTGCTCAGAATAATCTGAGAAGGCGTCAAAGGGCCGGAACCAACACGTTTGCATATTGCGGAGGGCATTTAGGTGGTTTGATCCCTCTGTCTGTTCGCAGTTGCTTAACTCCTACGTGCGGCCTCATGTGGAATACGCAATCCAGGTCTGGCAGTCCTGGTACAAACAACACCTTGCAGCACTCGAGACTCCACAGCGACGAGCCATGCGGCACGTCAAAGGGTTTTTCAACCTTCCTTATCAGCGTCGACTGCGGACACTAAAATTATACAGCGGCCGGTACCGGCGCCTACGTGGCGACCTTATTATGGCCAACCAGATTCTAAGAAACTCCAACCACATCTGTCGCCACCTACTACAACTGAGCTACAACCGAAATTTGAGGGATCACCAGTTCAAATTAGCCACGCAATACATTCGGCTAGAATACCGGCGGATCTTGTACTCTCTTCGTATGTGCCAGGCTTGGAACGCCCTCCCAAATTACGTTGATTCTGCCCCCTTTACCTGTGTTTAAAAAACGTCTTGATATTGCCCTAACCCACCTACACTACGAGACTTCGCCTGTGTCTCGACAGACGATATAATGCGACGAATGTTGCAAAAACAGAATCAACCTAAACAACTGTGGTTGGCTCTTTCTCCGTGCCACTGTGTTAACACTGTGGTGAGTCCACCAAAACGATTCGCATTTCATTCTTTCGTTTGCTATTCTTCATGTTGTGGTTCTCTTTTTGGCCATCCTACGAGACTTGCTAAGCAGCCGCTTTTTACCCGTAATATACCATTGTTCCATTGTTATCATGCAGCACACATTGCCTCTCATTGGCGGTGGTTCACTGACAGGCCCTCAAATAGATGGATGGGCTGGTCTGGGCAAACACACGAAAATGAATACAACTCCCCACGGACATCAACCTCAGTAACTTTCACGCACCAACTGGGGACTATGGAATTGGGGTTCCAAGCCTATTTAACATGATTCAATCGTTTCGGAAGGACTGCCTAGAGCACTATCTTCCAATCTCCAACCCAGTTACCATTTGAGAAATTCGAAGATCTTCAGCGGCTATCATACTGCTCTTCGCCAGGCAACACGTGATCACTGGGAACCAAGTCGTCTTTGACAAGCTGTTATGAAGGAAGCATGGAAGAATTCATTTCTACAATCTGTGGACGAATCCTTGCTTTGGGAGGTAATTACCGCGCCAGTGTCTCACAACTGGATAAGAAGCCCTGAGAGAAGGAACCTAAGAGAGGAACCCAACTTCGAGTAGGGGTGGTGCCGATCAAATCCTGATGTTTCTGGGGTCGACCAACCTAAACCCAACCGAAGTTCACTAACGGGACGCATGCAGACAAAACGAAACACTTTCCCAAATTCTGCAGTCTTGTGTAGTAACTCACGACGCAAGCTATAAACGGCACAACGATAACGTGAAGCAACTAAACAACACCCTTCGTCGCAAAGGAGAGCGAATCATCGCGGAGCTTCGCATCCCAGCGGCATCGATGTATTTGTGAGGCCAGTTTGCCACTCTCAAAACACTCATGTTTGTGGAACTGCACATTTCATTTACCCACAGGGCAAAGCCTAATCACACGCCACTCGTTATGCACAACTTGATATAAACGCCACGTCAAAACAACATTATGATCGCAGTACAGTACCAGGCCGGCGACTAAGCACTTGGTAAACGGACAATTTGGAATGCCCTTTAGCTCTCATTCACTCTGACATACATGTGGCATCAAGGCGCAACAATATAACACCACTGGAACGACCGGACAACGGACGTGTGTGCTTCCGTTCACATGCTTCATGCCCCACGCATCCAGTCGCAAAGCACCGCAACCGCAATTGGGCTCCGCCATCATGCAAACACATGAGATAAGTCTCCCTTGTATATATCATTACTACTTGTCCAATATTATTATTATATTGGTGCCTAGCCTACTGCTATTGTAACTACGCGCGCTTCAAGCAGAATTAATAATTGGG